TTGTTTGCTAACGGAAAATTCGAAAGTTATTTTTAAAAGATTAAAAAATTGAAATTTCGTTTAATGTTTATTTGCTTTTCAGAAAAAAAAAGAAAAATATAAAATACCGATAAACAAAAGAAAGCTCCAAATCCAACCCTTGTTGGACTTCATCAAGGGAAACAATAGAAGCCCCCCCATCAACAACAAGTGTGAATCAAAAGGGATTTAAAAACCGATTTACGAAACAATGTACAATTTAAGCCTGGGCAAGTTCAACAATGCAAATCAACCCTTGCCTAAAATCTGTCACCCAAACTCCTGCTTATTTCTAGGGTACATTGTAGTAGGTGTCGAAAACATTACACACATTTATTCGGTAATTAACCGTTGATTTAAGTGTGTAGGTCAAATAGTTTCTGCATTAATATTGGTATTCTCAGGAAGAAGTTAATCTGAAGTTATAAAAGAAAATATACAATAATTATAAGGCTAGTCATGTTCGTATAGCCATATTATTGTAATATCCGCGAACGCATTTCTTGAATAGGTAATCAACACCGGCTGTTTACACGGCCGGCCATAATTAAACATTTTATGTTAAAGCCCGACCAAGCATTTTGATAATGTCCGCTAACGTAGCGATTGTGGGTACTGGTACCACATTAAATCATCTAGGTGCAAATAGAAATAAAATGTCCATTGGATGAGCTATGGTGGGAAAAAGTTGTGCCTTGTATTCTCAGTATCTCTGATGTGTCTGCTCTCCTATATGAAAGTACACCGGTGTATCTTCAACATAACAAATTTCCTGCTGATAACCGGTAATGGATATAGTTTATCAATAGATTTTTTTTTTCGGTACAATAAGGAAACATAAAAGCAATAATTATAAATAGTAAATTACGTATTCAAAATTTTAAAAACATATTTATTCCATTAGATCATCTAATCCTACTTTCATAAATTAATAGAGACATCCATCATACGGAAAGCAACAACCCCTCGACCTGTACAATGGCTGAAATATTTACGGATACTTTGTCCCTCTAATTACCGACAGCGACAAAGATTGATCGGGTGAACTCGACAGTTGCCCCCTCCCGTAAAACGGACCCGGCCCTGCAATTATATGATTATCCAGCCCGAATCTGCACAATACCCGATGATTTCCTGAGTTTTCATTACCCTTATTGTTGGATTCTTTTGTCGTTTTTGGGCGTTCGGCAAGCTCACAAAACAAAATAATAGCTTCTGGATGAAACTTCCTTATTTTTCTTTTTGCGAACTTGTAAGCAGAACTTTAGAAAAAGTCGGTAGATTTGTTGTAGGATTTCTGGAAAATTCCAAGAGATACATAGAGTTTGAGTTTGTTCTTGGGTGGGTTAATTGGAACTTTTCAAATATATATATTTTAGCTGAGGTGTTTTGATCAGGAGTGCACTGAGAAAAATATAATATGGTACACGTGAACTAAATTCCCGAATATTTATTTCAAAATACTGTACTAATTGAACAAAAGACAAAAATATAGCAATAAAGATTTCTGAAGTAGAAGATACGTGTTGAAAACGCTGGCGCTTTCTATGACAATCTCTTTTACACCGTTTTCTCTCGACTGGTCATGGACCGGTGTCATGGGGTGTTTTCTACCGAGGTAGAGGTTGTTTTGGTGTCTTAATGGTTACAATCTCCCCTTTTGGAGTTTCCCTACGTCCTCAGGGATACTCCAAGCCAATTTTTGATGTATGATCCTAACATAAACAAGTTGGAGCTTTAATGCGGCGTCTGGGTCGTACATCTAATCTGGGCTCATCGTCATTTCCATTTTTTTCTTCGTTAGAACTCTCATTGTCATCAGCATGCAGTACATCTATGCTTTTCTGAGGAATGGCCTCGACACCTTCGGGTATATTTTCAGTTTCAATAAGGCGTCTTCTCATGGGTCTTCCACGTGGGCGTATAGGTCGTACTGATGTTGGAACTTCTCCTTTTCGCACATAAGGTGCCATAGCTGACGTATGTAATTTGATGGTGGGACCTTCAGTTGGCTCTATAGGTTTAACTTCAATCGAGGTATCTTTTTTTACCTTGGCTGCGCGCGCAACTAGTGGAGCAGGTGAGAGGTGAGCGTCCAAAATGTCAAAAAATAATTCAATATGGCGGCAGAGGTCGGGCATCTGTTACTAATAATCATTTTGTGATTTGCGCTAAATGTTTTTGTGATAACAATTTACGTGTCTCGCAGAAATAGAAAAAGAGAGCTTAATTGTAATAAATACAAGTTAGAAAGTAATAAAAAATGACAGTGTAGCCAGCTGCAGTGTAGCCAGATTGAATTGTTGTAGAACAAATGTAGACAATACAAATCGAACATTATAACATTAAAGAAGTGATATATTGTCAAGTAGTTTACAACGCCTTAAATCAGACAAAAGAAGAGCTTTAAAGTGTATGTTAAAATCGATGGCACTTTTACTTTGATAAAAGTTTCATCCGGCAACATCGCACAATGAAATTGCAAAGGAATATGTCAAGTTTAATCTAACACTGCAATAGGTTCAAGTAATACGTAAAGTATTAATTTGCTCTTTGTCGAACTACACGTTACAATGAAAGAAGGAACAATTAATTCTGAACTGGTCCCTGAATACGAATGTGACGCAAGCCCGTAACAAACTCAATTTTCATTGGACGTTCACCTGCAACCCACGAGTTGCGCGCGCACACCAGGTATTACGAAACACATCAATTAATGTGTTTTAGCATGTTATATTTAATTTACTTGTATGAATAAATAAATAATGAATATATTTTTTCTGAAGAACCTTTAGGTTTTAGTGGAATTTTAGTACATCTTATATAGGGCTTCGCGAGATCACAACACTAGTCTTCGTCTTGGTAGCCAGACCAAGACCAAAACCTAATAAATCTTCTCAAAACCAAGACCAAGAGTAGACGTTCATAGCCAAGACCAAGACCAAGACTCTCTCTCGAGACTCTCGTCTTGGTCTTGGTCTTGAAAAAAAATATCGACTCAATATTTATAAAAATATGCAAATCACTATTTACTTTTAATGCTTTTTAATTAAATCAATTCATCAAATTTATTATTTTTTTCGAATTCACGAGAAGGTTGTATAGGTTTTAAAAATACAACATAGTGTAGATAACATTGATTCACACAGAACACATCGATATTTTCCTACTCCTACATAATAGAATACCTAAGTATTGGAATTTCCAAAGATAATTATTAATTATATAGGTACACAAACCCCATATCCCACCCAAACTAAACCCAAGTCTAATTATTGTGAATAGGCCAATAAAATTCAAATGACCTATGTGACTATGTGAGAGTTCTTGAGAACTTTTGTCTGGCATGAATGCTCAGGACGGTAACGTAGGTTTATTCTTATGATTCAAATAGAAATTTATTTTTTTCCTCCGTACATTATGGAGTTTTTGTCAACTTTCCTGTTCCGTTAATGAAAATTCTAATTCAATAATAATTGATGTTTGTTTGAGTCTCTGTGTTGTGAAGAAGACCAAATGCATGAAACGTCGGCATAATTTTATCAAAAAGAGAGTTTTATTTTTCAATTCTGAGGTCCTAAACCCATTATCTCTGCTCTGTCCTTATATGTTATGTATATTTTAAAAATTTGGTATAAATTTTTTTCAAGACCAAGACCGCATCGATTTTTCGAGACCGGCCAGTCTTGGTCTTGGTCTTGCGAAGGCCTAATCTTATACCATGCCAACATCCCAGTTTTGCACTAATAACTTCTTAAGAAAAGGACTCTCCATCTTAAAATATGAAACTTATCCTTCTCAAGTACTAGAAAATCGCCTTAAAACATCAAAAAGGACACAGAAAACCGTTATTGTAACAAAACGTCATGGTTGTTTGGAGGTAAATCAAATTCCCATGGCGCCAATATTGCCCTATTCATGCGCATACCGCAAATTTTGAAATTTGTCAAAATGGTAATGTATATACTGTTGTGTGCCTTTGTGCTTTTCGAAAGTGTGTAGAGATGGTGATGTCGCCTTCCATGCTTTCCCCGCAGATCACAAGCGCCGCAAAGCCTGGTTAACGTCCCTGAAAATGTCTGGTGTAGGCAAAAAAATAGAAAATCTAAGGGTAATTTATCTGAAATTATACTTTAAGAAACCTATGTCATATCCACTCATCATTGCAGATATGTTCAAAGCATTTCAGTGAAAAAGATTACCTATTTGGGAAAAAATATCGCACGAACGAATTCACGTCGAGAGAGCTATTGGCCGACTAAAACAATACAGAATATTGAGCCAAAAGATACCAATCGCTTCGTTAGGGATTTCAGAACAAATTCATACAGTTTGTTGTATACTTACTTCACTCCGAAATAAGCTGAGACTATAGAAGCTACAGATTATTTTATATTATGTTTTGGCTGTCAATCCAGTTAACAAAAAAAAAACTTAAAAATTCATCAGAAAAATAAAATTCTTCATAAAAAAATAAAATTCAAAAAAACTGTTTTAACCTGTTTTATGAAGACCTAATTAGGACAAACTGGTAATATTTCAAAAGCACATCTTATATCTTAGCACATATTCCTGAGGTCCAAATAAGTCGAATTAAAGCAACTTATACCTTAGCCCAAAATTGCTCCGTTCCCGAGATCGGCTCACTTTAAAAAATTTTAACAAGGGTAGGTACCTTTTTTGCGTAAAAATATTCACAAAACTATTTCCTTCACAAAAAAAAATTAAAAATTACACTGAAAAAAAGTTGAAGGCCATTCTAAACGATAAGAAGAGTATTGTGAAGTGCCCTCTAGGAGCCATAGCAAAAAAGGTGTCCATATTCAGATTTTGCGTTCCAAAAAACCCCTGGCTACCAATTATTTTTAAAGTAATATGTTGAAAAATATTCATGAATTTTGAAAAACTCAAATTTTATTTTTTTAAATTTACCACCCTGTATCTCGGAAACGGACCAAGTTCCGACAGCTAAGTTGCTTTAAATCGATTTATCTTGCCCTCGGGAATATGTGCTAAGATTTTGTAAGGAGCTTTCAAAGACAGAGTATTTACACTTTTTCCTAAATATGAAAATATGCTTTATCACAACATTGCTCTTAATTATTACTGGTTTCTTGTAGGGGTAAAAAAGGTAAGGCATGTTGACAGTAAATATTGAATAGAGTTTCATGCATATTTTGACAATATTTGGCATCAAAAGGAACAGTTACGATTTTCGTTTCATCACAACTTTTGAGAAACACCACAAAATCGCACCATTTCAAACCACTTAACAACAACTGGCCCTGTACTTGATGAAAGTAGTGGTGAGTTCTTTTCAAATGATAATTGCTGTCCAGGCAAAAACTAGGCAAGTTGATATAGTCCATTAAAGTTGTAGCATTTCGCGTTGTTGGACACTTAATTTCTAAAAGTCCATATTCATTCAAATCAGCTTTGAAGATGACCCCATCAGGACTTGCCCCCAAATGAACAGCATAGGGATGAATTATTATTCCACATTTATAATATTTCGCATTGGTGTTTATAATTAGATATTTAGCAATAGCTATAGGTTCATTTTCACGTCCATGTCTAATACTGCGTGCACCCCTTGCTGAAGATGGTTCACTCGGAGGGATAAAGATTTCTCTAAATTTCTCATTGAAACGTTGTCTGTGACAAATGAGACCGAAGTTTGATGCTGTAAATCTATATTTTCTGTAAGAATGCCACTCTTCGCAATCAGCTTGGGGTCGTGTAATTTTTTCTATAGCATGCGATTCTTCGAAAGTTAAGGGTTTCAAAATTGGATATTTGGTACAGAAATTAAAATATTTTCTATTTCTGAGCAATGTACGGGTAATGTTATTGGAAGTTCTTCCCTTGGCTCATCACTCATGATATCGTCTTTCCTAAAATTTCGCTGCCCTAACACTGAATTTCGACTTGCTCTCGTTATCCCTGAAATTATTAAATTATGAGAGTGTCATTAGACAACGCAACGGTAGAAATATTAACACTAACCATCAAGAACCTCTATACTGTCTTGTGCATTGTCGCCAAAGGTAGGAAATAGACAATTATAATTTCCATTTCCACATCCACATATAACTTGCTTCAAATTTTCAACATCTGAATTCTTCACATCCATTAATTGTAGATTTTTGAAGGGAATCCTAAAAGTTGACTTTATTGGATCCTTCTCCCTATTAACATTGTTCGGGTTGTAAAATATTGATGATCCTATTTGTTCAGGTTCGATTTTTTTCCCTCTGCGTTTATTACACTCCATTGGTTTTGAAGTACAAGAGACATCCTCGGTAATGACGGTAAGTCCAGAGTACACATGTTCATGCATGAAATATGCCAATGTCACAACATGATGGCATGATTCTGAGTTACTGAACCAAAAAAAAAACTGTACGTTACAGCACAGGACGTGCGTTTACATATTACTTACCCAACTCCACAACTGCAATGAGTTTCCCTAATGTTCTCTCCATTCTCAAAAAGCGTTATATGAAGCTTATGAGGTGGTAAATGTTTCTTCATACTCCGGTAACATTGGGCTTTTATGCTAAGAGCTTGTGTCATAACTTCATGGATGTATCCCTCTTTGAAAAATTTAAAACCCCGATCCTCCTGCCGCTTTTTATATCCATGGCTTTCAAAAAATAATAAAGCCACACCAAAATTGAACTTTCTAAAGGCACTCAAGTCTTTCCCCCACATCTTGCCCTTATATTTTAAAAAAAAAAACCAAGTACTGTGAGAAATAGTGAAATTTTTAATTTTGTGACACTTGACACTTGTCATATTCCCACTTTCATATTCGATGAACGATGTAGCCGGATGGAACATTTATCAAAATAAAAGTGCAAGCGATGCTAACAGACACTTAACAGTTCTTCTTTCGTCTGATTTAAGGCGTTGTAAAACACTTGACACATCGCTTTTTTTAATGGGTTCGATTTCTATTGTCTACATTTTTTCTGCAACAATACAATCTGGCTACATTGCAACCCACTAGTTGCGCGCGCATGTCGTGTTTTATTTCTATCTAACTTGTATCCATTACAATTAAGCTATCTTTTTCTATTTATGCGAGACAGGTCCATTGTTGTTGGCGTGGCAACCTTAATAACTTCGTATGGACCATCACGTCGTGGAGCAAATTTTGAAGTATAGGCATCTTTGGCTTTGCTAATTGGGTGTGTATTTACCATCACTCGATCTCCCTTTTTGTAATGGGGAATAGTTATTCTCCTTTGGTCAGCATAATCTTTTGATTTATCTTGGGACTTTTTATGGAGCTCTCTCTTGCTTCTCTCAAGGTTCTAGCAATATACGGGTGACAACGAAATCGTTATACAAGGCGTCATTTAATTGTCTTTAAATTTAAAAATTTGAAAATCGGGTGGAACGGGTAAGTCATTGAGGCGCACACTTTTCATAAAAAAACAATTGAATATCACTTCCGGTTACTTTGGAAATGGACCCAAGTCAAGAAATTTTTATGGAACCCTGCATATTTTTTTACAAAGTTGGATAGAGCTTAAAATTCCCTTTTCAATGACGTATGATAAGTGGAATTTGCTTTTAAGATGGCGGCGTGAGAAGGCACTTTCTTAAATTCAATATGGCAGCATTCTGATCTAACCTTTCAATACCTAACCGAAAAATGAATATGCATTTTGGTAGACATTTTTCGGTAGGCCATTGGACACACTATAATTCTAGAATTTTATAAGTTCCTCTTCCTATTCAAAATTTTTAGAAAATTTGAAACTAAAATTTGCATTTCAAAGAAATTTTGAAATGCCCTTGTTTTTGAGTAAAATCATTTTTTTTTTCAAATTCAATCTAAAACCATTTTAAATCTAAAAATTATGGATTGGGAAAAGTGTTTATTTGACAGAAACATTATCGGTTACGTCAGAATGCCGCCATATTGAAATTAAGAAAAATACCTTCTTACGCCGCCATCTTGGAAACAAATGCAAGTTGTGATATGTCATTGGAAAGGGAATTTCAAGCTGTATCCAACTGTGCAAAAAAATATACAGCGTTCCATAAAAATGTCTTGACTTGGGTCCATTTCCGGAGTAACCGGAGGTGATATTCAATTGTTTTTTTACGAAAAATGTGCGTCTCAATGACTTGGCAGTAGCATGTGCGAGCGGAAATATTTCTATCCATCTGCTGGCAGTATCTTCGATTATAAAGGTCCATTTTGCACCAGTATCGGTTTCAGGAAGAGGTCCAAAGAGATCTATAGATATTACTTCAAATCGCTTGGCCATTGCAGGTGTTTGTATTTAACCAGCAGGTTCAAGATTTCTCACTTTATATCTCTGACATGCAATACAGCTGGACACATGTTCGGCAACACGTTTTCTCATTCCTGGCCAATAGTATCTCGATCGTAATCGTTGTGTGGTTTTATCAATACCATAATCACCAGGTAAGAGGAAATGGTGGTATTATTCTAGAATTTCAGGAATCATGCTTTTCGGTACCACTATACAATTATTTCTAATACATCTGAATCTTCTAACTGTTTCCTTCTGTCTTCTTTTTTTTCTGGACAAATCAACAATAACTTCATTTACCTCTGTCTGAGACGTTTCTAGTGGTGGCCAGGATAAAGTATCAGCCACTACATTTACCTTTCTTGGAGTATATTCAATTCTCATGTTATAAGCCTGTAAAGACAAAGCCCATCGAGCTAATCGACTACTAGGTGATTTTAAAGGCATTAACCACTTCAATGGCTGGTGGTCAGTCTGGATAATGAATTTAGCTCCATCCAGGTAGTCTCTAAATTTCTCCACAGCCCACACAACTGCTAGAGCTTCTCTTTCTGTAGTGTGATAGTTCATCTCAGCAGGTGTGAGTAGTCGGCTTGCATATTCAACAGGTCTTTCATCGGCCTTCTCCCCTTGGAGTAAAACTGCCCCTAAAGCATATGAACTAGCATCAGTTCTGAGTATATAAGGCAATGTACTATGAGCCTGTCGGAGTATGGGATTAGTAGTCAAAAGTTGTTTCATAAGGTCGAAAGAATCTTGTTCTTTCTTCTCCCATTTCCAAATAGCTTTCTTCTTGGATAAGGAGGTCAAGGGTTTTGAAACTTCTGCAAATGAAGAAATGAATCGCCGGAACCAAGAGCATGTTTGGATAAAGGACAAAAGCTCTTTCACATTTTTGGGAGGTGGTCTCTCCATAATAGCGGTGATTTTAGAAGGATCTGGTTGGATTCCTTGGGATGTAATTACGGGTCCCAAATACTTCACAGAGGAGCACACAAAGTGGCATTTGGATCGATTGAGGTGAAGCTTGAAAGCTACAAGTCGGTCAAAAACTCGTTGTAAATCAGAAAGTTGTTCTTGGTAAGTTCTGGATAATACAATCAAATCGTCTATTAAAAGTGTCCCATAAGTCACGGTCCAAACTGAAAGGGGTGATAGAGGAGGTCATTGCCGACAAAAAAACCTTATATGTTACTATACAATTCTTCACGATTTTCAAGATATTCGAGTTTTATTGATTTAAACAAACATGGTTATATTGGTTGAGAAAAAGAATACATTTCTAGAGTAGCAAAAAAAGTATTAGAGATTTTCAGACCAATGTGGCCTTAATTGAATAAGGAGTAATTTTAACAAATATGGGTCACCTTTTTTAATCTTTGCTTTCTAAATTATCATCATTTGAACTTTTGCTGTGAATTGGATACAATTGAAAATAAGAGAGAGAAATTCCCTTCAGGTTCTTTAGTGAAAAAACAAAACTTCACATACTCATAAAAATTCAATGACAGACATTCCTGCTCATAATAAATAAAAAAATCAATGATGGGTTCGATGTTTTTTTTTGCAAATTTCTTTTTCTTGACCAATGTAACCATGTTCGTTATCTTGAAAACGGTGGAGAATTGTATAATGACATATAAGTTTTTTTTTTGTCGGCTCCTCTATCACCCCTTTCAATTTGGACCGTGACTTATGGGACACTCTGTATAAGCTAATATGGTCAAATCTTGGAGTCCGGATTTGAATCGATCAATGAGTCTTTGGAAGGTGCATTTTTCATTCCAAATGGCATCTTCGTATAACGGAAAATTCCAAATGGGCAAATAAATGTTGTTCTATCTCGATCAGATTCACCGACAGAGACTTGATGGTATCCTGATTTTAAATCAAGAGTGGTCATATACTTTGGTTTGCAGTGTGTAATAGACCATCAATCCTAGGAAGTGGATATTTATCGGAAACTGTTTTCTCATTTATGCGTTGATAATTCACACAAAGGCGAATACTACCATCAGGTTTAGGTACTAGAACAACTGGAGCAGCATACGGAGATTCGCATTCTTCTATGAATCCATCTTTCAGAAGCTTATCCAGTTCTGCCCTCAATATGTTTTTGTTTTGTTCAGACATCCGATAAGGTGGTTCCAAAATTGAAATATCATCAGTCAGTTTTACTGTATGTTCTGCATATGGTGTTGGCGCAGTACTGGATGTGAATAATTCAGCATATTGGTGCAGTAAGAATTCAATTTGTTGCTTTTCCGGTTGGCTTAGTTGTACACCTTCATTTTCTCTCAATGGTGATGCATTCAGTTGTACAGAAAACATTGGAGTAGAATCCGCAGTAGTTATTACATAATTAGTCTCATCTTCAAATCAAAATTGTGGAGTTTCGGCATAGTCCCTGAGGAATGTCCATCACAATATTGGCAAGTTCAATGAAGTCTAAACCAAGTAAAGTCCTGCTATTGATATGTTCTGGAATGGCAACAAGTGATGTTGAAATAATTTTATCATTCAGAATTATTTCAATATTAAAAACAAGAGAAGTTAGTCCTCTATGCCATCTGCAAGTTTAATCAACAATTATTGTTGAATATAAGGAGCATTTTCTTCCAACAGAAATTCCATAAGCCCAGCACCAGCTAGGCTACGCTTTACTCCTGTATCCAAACAGGCAAGATCAGTATGACCAAGAATATTGACTGAAACGATAAGTTTAATTTGAGAATCAACATCTGAAGAATGAAACAAGAATTCAGCTGCTTTGGCACTTGCAGTGAACGTTTGGCACGATGAAGTATTACTAGAAGAACCTGATTTCCGACAATTTTCACCGTTGCTTTTGATGTAACCTTGTTGTCCACAATCGTAGCAAGAAATTGCCGTAGAAACATTTTTTTTTTCTCTTGCGGATCTTCTGACTTCCGACCTGTTTCTTCCAGTCTAGAGTTTTGTTTCAATTGTTTCGATTTTTTACAATCTTCTATGATGTGGCCATAATTTTTGCAATAAACACATTTCAATTAAGACTTCTTCCCTTCTGTTTTAGCTTCTTTGTGGGGGCTCGATTTAACAGAATCGTGAGTGTTCTTTTCCAGTAGAGTGATTTCTGCAGTTCGAGCATTTTGAATAAGCTCATTGAAATTATTAACATTCTCTCGAGGAACTCTCTTTCTAATATTGTAGTTCAATAGACCATAAACCATATCTAACTGACAAATTGCAGAAACCTGGTGATTAATTGGAAATTTGGAGAAAATGACTCGACATCAGCTTACAAAAGTTTCAGTTTTCTCTTCATTACATTGTTCTTTAGAAAATAACTCACGACATAGTTGATGTGGAAGTTTTTTTTTGTCCAAAAGCATTTAGTAATGCACATATAAAGCTGTTTTTTTTTTTAAGATAATTCCCCAAGTCAAAAATTTAG